TCATAGCCGAGGGGAAAGCTTGGAATCTGTCGAAAGATAGCCGAAATGGCTGTCGGAGGGGAAGTTTGGTTGTTTTCCTCCTAGTGGGGAAACCAATTTGGGTTTGGTTTAAGAAGAACCAAACTTGGACCTATTATGATCCTTGAGATTGTTATTGGGTTAAGGGTTATTAGAGAGTATATATATGACTCCAAACCTAATTTTGGTGTAAGGACAAACTAATTGAAGAGAGGCAATTTTCGTAGGCTAAGAAGGAGAAAAACAGTTTCGTCAAGGTTTGTTCAAGAGAACGTTTGGAGTCTTAAACATGCTCCGATTTGGGTTAGCTTCGAGATTCAGTGGTCTTGATATTCAACGGTGGAGATTGTATTTCAACGGTTGGTTCGTCGCAGATCTGGGTTTTAGCGAGGCTGTTCGCTGCTATTGCGAGTTCATATTTCAAACTGTGTTGTCTTGAGTGTTTGGAAAATCCGATGGTGAATTCTTCTTCGATTGAGCTGAAATTTGGCAGAGATATTCCTGACTTGTTTATGTAGGATTTGTATGGTGGAGATCTGATTGGGTGTCGGAATCTTAGTGAATTTAGGATCATTTGGGACTGCTTGTTTCTAGGCTCTTGTATTGCTCTCTTGTGGTGTTTCTTATGTTGGAGATTGCTCTTTGGAACCTTAGTCTCTGGATCTGTTCTGTGGTAACAAGAAGGACGTGGTTGTAACTCAAATTTGATATAGTGGATTTTTGAGTGGATTACGGTCCCGTGGTTTTTACTCCTCACATCGAGGAGGTTTTCCACGTAAAATAATTCGCTGTCTCATTTACTTTACTGCTTTGATTTGCTGCTGCCGTATTCTATATTTTTCTCACAGGTTCACATAAGTGTGGAAAAATTTATTCCGCTGCGCCATTGGTGCTTATTGTTTTTCCCCAACAGAAAATTGGACTGAAGATGTCTCAAGGATATCGATCCAGTTCAAAATATATTTACTACTTCATAGTCTAATAATATTGGAGAATCATTCCAATTTATTATTGTGAAAATATCTGAAGTAATTAATCAATCTCTAGTAAAAGTTCATTTAGAAGGATAAATTAAAACCGCTTTCTTTCTAATCTAAATAAAGCCCCGAAGGCTTATGGAATGACGAGATCTTTTAAGACATAGAG